CTACGACTACGACTACGACTACGCCTTCGCCTACGCCTACGACGACGACGACTACTACTACTACTTCTACGACGACGACTACTACTACTGCTACTACTTCTACTTCTACTTCTACTTCTACTTCTACTTCTACTACTACTCATATTTTATGAATATTACTATTATCAATAGATGCAATCATAATGGTAAATATACAAGAATGACACTAATAACCAGTATTGTTACTAACAACAGCATGTAAGGGTATAGTAGATTATAGTGGACACTTACGACATGCTAGTGACTATAATGCTATAGTACTCTTACGACATATTAGAGACCATAATGGTATATTAGACTGCATAAGCATATTACGTAGTGCTTATGACGTATTGCGACTGTATGGGTGCAGTAGATTAGCCAGACCCTTAGATGTAGTACCGTTCAATGGATGACCTATTTAACTGGTTAGGACCCTAGAATAAGAAACTAAGGTAACCAAAAAAAGGTATGACAATTAAGGGTCTAGGTAGAGCAGGATTAGTGATGATAAAATCAACCCTAAACCCTATTCCCTGAACCCTAAACCCTAAACCCAAAGCTCTAAAACCCTAAGCCCTAAACCCTAAGCCCTAAACCCTAAACCCTAAACCCTGAACCTATTCAGGATCTTGGCAGCCAGCAGCTGCCGGAGCTACATTTGCGGACGCGACCGGCTCTGGACCTTTGGGGCAACAATCGAATAGAGAAGCCTAAGTAATTAATATAGGGGCCTTAATAATTAAGATGGGGCTCCTTTGAAAGGGCTCCTTAAAGGGATACTATAAAGGACACTATGATGAGGGATCTATAATGCAGGGGCCTTAATAGTTAGAATAGGGTTTTGGGGTAGGTTAGACTTATATACTTACGTAATACGGAACCCGAAAACCATGTTCTAGTTATTGAGGCACCTACGCTAGTAGTACTAGTCTTGAGGGTTCCTTGGTACGACTATTCATCTTGTAGATGTCGTTGTCTTGCGAGTAGGTAGCACCCAGCAGCTACTAGGGTATTTTGGCTTGGCTCAAATCTCCAGTATTTGTTTGACTGAAGAAGGCTTTCACTGTGCTCTCGTCCCAAGACCTCTATCGGATTCTAAGGAATTGGCTGGATGTTTTCGTGGCACCTCGGCAGCATGACCAGGAGCTGATATGTTCAAGAGCCCAGTCCTTCGTTTCATTCGGGTTCCCAAACCTAGGATCTCATGATCTCAATCCGTACTCATCACTGAAATCTCACGACCGGTGTATTGAGCACATCGCCCAGCGAAAGACTGGGGGATGAAACTATGAGTCGTTAGGGCCTCCGGGACACTACGGTTCAGGATTCGAAGTTTCAGGTTCAACCTTTGTGCTACAAGGCCTGCATGCCTACATCAAGGATGCCTTGCGGGGGTCTTGGTAGGGTCCCACCCCCCACTTTCAACCCCAAGCTTCAACCTCTACACCCGTGGCCCTGAACACCATAGAACCCATTCAGAACCCTAGACCCCACAGAGCCCAAGCAGAACACGTATAGTAGCCGTAAGCCCTAAACCCTAAACCCTAAACCCTTAAGCCCTAGACCCTAAACCCTTAAACCCTTAAGCCCTAAACCCTAAACCCTTAACCCCTAAACCCTTAACCCTTAAGCCCTAAACCGTACAGAGTGACGAGGTGACGACCTCTTGGCTGGTGATCGGTTTAGAGGTGTTGGTCACAGCAGGCATGAACGAAGCGCTGCTCGTGCTGCCTAGTGAGGGTTTAGGGGGCTTAAGGGTGTAGGGCTTAGGGGTTTAAGGTTTAGGGTTTAGTAGGTTCTGAGGGTCTACGATATTGGTGGTAGTTTGGGTTTCGTCTTTCCGGTAGCTCTTGTGTTCGGGTTAATCACATGCCTTAAACCACGAACCAAAAGTACCTTCAGCCATGAACTAACTACTACGTTTACTTAGTAAGTTCACGGTTGAGGGTAGTTGGGGTTTGTGGGTAGTTCTCTAAATTAGTGTCCCTTCCTAGGTCCCCCAAATAGTACGGCACCCGTATAAAAAGGACCCTAAAAGGAACCCGAATGTAGAGAGCTACCCTTATAGTTTTCGGTAGCCCGGGTTTAGGAAGCTTCGGGGCTCAAGGTCTTGGGTTTAGGGTTTAGGGCTTAGGGTTTAGGGGTTAGGGTTTAGGGTTTAGGGTTGAGGGTGATGGTGCAGCGATTGTTCGGGTTTTGGGATTGCTTTGAGTCCAGTCCTGGAGTCGTTTGAGTTCGGGGGCGTGCCCTGAGCCATAAACCCTAGACCCTAAACCCTAAAGACTCATACTGTGCTTAAGGATGGAACTGTGACTCTGTAAACGTATGTCACAGAAGAGTGAGCCAAGCAAACGTCAGCCTCGAGAAACCGGAATGAACCAGAAGACCCGAGGTGGCGTCGCCGACAACCCTCAAACCCTAAACGCCCTAAACCCTAATCCGCGTGGGGCTGAAGGTTTTTGTTTTGGAGTTTCGTCTTCTGCTGCATGGGTTTGGTCCTTCTTGCAGTACAGAAGCAGCGGACCGGAAGCACTAAACCCTAAAGCCCTAGACCCCAAAACCCTAAACCTACAAGTGTCGAATACAACCTCGACAGCAGCAGCAGCAGCAGCAGCAGCAGCAGCAGCAAGAGGAGGAGGAGGAGGAGTAGTAGTAGTAGTAGTAGTAGTAGTAGGATTAGTAGTAGTCGTCGTTGTCGTAGTAGTGGTAGTAGTAGCAGCTTTAGCAAACAGAATAAGCATTAGTAGTTCCAGTCGTCCTCTTCTTCAGCTGTTCTGATTATACTTGATAGGAAAGTTAAACCCAAAACCCTAAACCCTAAACCCCTAAGCCCTAAACCCTAAACCCAGACTGTAAGCCCACACACGTGGGTTCAGGCAGGTCGAGAGCCTCATGGTGCTCATGTAGATCCCTTGACACCAGAATACTACGGCATTCTTACAAGATGTATTTTCATTTTTAAAGATTCAGAGTAACCCCCGACATGGGCGTGCTGGGAGGCATTATTGAGGGCTTGGGTTTAGGGTTCAAGGTTCGGTCGCTGCTCACTCTGTTTGCTAGCCTTGGGTGCCAAGCCAAGGAACAGTACCAACCTGCGTGTCTTCCGTGTTTTCAAAGTGTCGCGGCTGCTGCGAGTAGTTGCCTCGCTATGGACGCTCTGCAGCAACCAAATTGAGAGCTTTAGAGAGGACTTCATAGGGCTTGTTAGGGTTTTGGGCTTTAGGCTTTGGGCTTAGACCTTGTAGCTGCTGAAATTCTCATTGGTCCAAACCCAACTTTTCAACTTTTCGGGCTCTTATAAGGTCTCTTTTTATGATAGTCCGATAGTTGGAACCTTTCAACCCATGGGTATTTGGGAAGGAAGAATTGCTAGGGTTGAGCTTCTCGGGATTGTGGAATGAAGCAATACCGATGTGGACGAGTTTTGTCACATCGTTTCAAGAAGATGGAACTTGGGAACAATGACCTGATTCAAAAAAGAGGAGGCTGGAATACATCGAAATTACATTCTGTACATGCGTAGATGCGCCTGTTCTGCACTGTTTATAAGAACCGAAGGCATTACTATGAACCTTTCGCAGCAAGGACAACTCAAGGTTAAGAGTTTAGGGTTTAGAGGTTAGGGTTCAGGGATTCGGGTTTAGGGTTCAGGAAAAGGCCAGGAAAAGGGGCTGTGATAATTACTGAATACATTACGTTTATCTTCGACCCTAAACCCTCCAAGGGTGGTCCGTTCCGTGAAAGCGCTTCGACAGCTGGTGAACTCCTTAGTCGATACCTTGATGTCTCTTTTCTGGGCTCTGGTGTGCCTTGGCTCAGAGGACTTTAGAGGCTTGGGGGTTTAGGGTCTAGGGGTTTGGGGGCCCTAAACCCTAAACCCCTAAACCCCTAAACCCCTAAACCCTAAACCCCTAAACCCCTAAACCCTAAACTCCTAAACCCTGAACCCCCAAACCCCTAAACCCTAGGTTTAGGGTTGACTTTCAGGGTTTGGTGGTTCAGGGTTTAGGGTTTTGGGGGTGCCCAGGTTGACCCACCAGTAGTGCCTTCTTATTGCGGGGATATGATGGCCGTTTTCATGAAGTTCAAGTTGTTGTTGGCAATTTTGAGTATGCCTTTTGTTTTTCGCCATGTTGAACCTGTAGGGGGGTTCCGGGGTTGCAGGAGGTGCTGATTTTGGGTTCAGGGAGGCGTTGGGTTGCACTTTGCGATGGCGCAGTGCATTCAAAATCCTGAGCCCTAAACCCCTAAGCCCTACCTGGATCCCAGAAGTTCGCAGAACACAAACCCTGAAAGCCTTCTGCTTCGAGGCTAGAAGATGCGCTCACAGCATACGGAGGTTTGGATCTGGGAAAGATATAGAATAAGTTATCACCTAGTAAAGCAAGAATAAACATATACATATACATGTATATGAACATGTTATAGTGTATCTCATTGTATTATACCCTAAACCCTAAACCCTAATCCCTGTGTCATGGCAGTCCTAATGCTTCCTGGCTGCGAGCGTCGCAAGATGTGTTGCTGCAAGCCGTAATGTAGAAGCCTGAATAAGCACTAATGGCTTTCTTTCGGCTTCCTTAACGGTTTAGGGGTTTAGGGTTTTGGGTTTGGGGTATTTATTTTGGTTTCATGGGCACCAAAACCGCTTTTGGTTATGGAGGGCCCTATTCTGCAGACTGGTCGTAGTAGTCGTTCTCGGATTCAACGCACACTCTCATCTGAGTTCTTGTTTCAGACCGTAAGTTCAGTTATCATGAATATAGGTGTTTGTGTTGAATAGTATGGCTTGCTTCTTATTGAATCTTAAGTCAAAAAGCAAAGCAATCCAGGCTGCTATGCTTGATTATCTATACCTTCGGAATACTCTTCACCGACGCCGCAATAGACTACGCGCTCTACAATGAGCCCGATCCCATGATGGAAGCCCACTTTGGCCGCTGGGCATGTGCCGCTCTTTTAGGGTTTAGGTTTTGGGGTCTTACAAGGGATAGGGTGTAGCCTAAACGGTTTAGAGTCTCGGGTTGAGGCAACGGCTCTTGCCTTACAGGCTGCAGCGTGCTGGATGCTCCAGACGCTCCAATTTCCTTTAATTAAACTTTAATTACTTCGGTAAAGGATACAGAAGACTATGCTATAAGCTGCTATAATACTGTATTTTTTGTTATACCATATACGAAAAGGCTACAGGAAGTCTTTGTGTTCCGATGAGTGAGATCAAATTCCCGCGCCCTCTGCGGAGGTCCCTGAATTCTGGAAGCTTACGCTTGTGACGGCGAGCAGTTCCTTTCATGTGCTGCAGACCATGAGCTACACCCAAAGTGCTCTGATAATACTCAGCACCATGGACCCCGAAGTAAACCCTTGAGCCCCAGAAGCCCTAAGCCCCGCTGGGTTTCAGAGACTTTCCTGGTTTAGTGTTTTAGGGGGGGTTTAGGGTTTAGGGTTTAGGGTTTAGGGTTTAGGGTTTAGGGTTTAGGGCATGCAACGACCAAATCTCCAGAGTTTCCCGGAAGCTCAGCCGAGGAACGCTGTATCAGTCCCTGACCACATTGCTCAGGCTGGAGTTTTGGGTTTTTGGGTTGTAGGGTTTGGGTTCAGGGACTGCCGGTGTGACACATCTAACCTTGATAGAGTACGTTGCCCTCAGTATTTTTGGCTTACTACAATCCCCAAATGAATACAATCAACCCATAATCCATAGACCCTAAGCCCCTAAACCCTAAACCCCAAACCCCAAAACCTTAGTCCCTAACACGTTAAGTGGTAAGCAAGCCCTTAACCTTAAGCCGTAAACCCTGGACCCTAAACCCTACACCCTAGACCCTAAACCCTAAACCCTAAACCCCTAAACCCTAAACCCTAAACCCTAAACCCTAAACCCTAAACCCTGGACCCTACACCCTAAAGCCCTAAACCCCTAAACCCTACACCCTAAACCCAAGTCAGGTCCATCCTGGGTGGCATAGACTGATGGATTGCAGCCGATTCCCTGCAACTCATCGGGATGTCTCCCAGCTTCCTAGTTAGGTTTAGGGTCCCTGAACCCTAATTCAGGGTTTAGGGTTTAGGGTTTAGGGTTTAGGGTCCCTGTTGGGGAGTTTGAGGCTTTAGGGATCTTCAGGGGTAGGGCTGAATATAGGGGCCTTAATAGTTAGAATAAGGTTTTGGGCCCCTTTGTAATAAACTGATAATAAGGAACCCTGAGCCCTAAAACCTAAACCCTAGATTCCAAACCCTAAGCCCTATTCAGGGTTTAGGGGGGGTTTGAAGCCCTAAGCCCTAAAAGCTAAACCCTAAATTCTAAACCCTATAAGCCCCATCCCTAAGCCCTAAACCCTAAACCCCTAAACCCTAAACCCTAAGCCCTAAACCCTAAACCCTAAACCCTAAACCCTAAACCCTAAACCCCTAAACCCTAAAACCCTGAGCCTTCAAGCCTAGGGCCCTTCGAGCCCCACGCCCGAAACCCCACACAACTTTTCATCCGTTCAGTGTTGAGGGTTTAGGGTTTAGGGTTTAGGGTTTAGGGTTCAGTGTTGAGGCTTTAGAGTTTAAGTCACCCAGCCTCTTTCTCTTTTGCTGTCGAAGCTGCACAGGGCAATTTCCTGGCAACCGAGCCATTTCTTCAGTGTTTTGGATGTATGGCACGTTCTTCCTCCGCTAGGAGGTCCTACTTAGAGAATGAGTTAAGCGAACCACCGCAAAGCTCAAGATGTTTCTCGCCTCGTTGCAACCCTAAGGGTCCAAGTGCCTAGTAGTCATATACTCTCCCTACAATAGTAACCTACATAACTACTATCCGAAACCTAAGTACCTAATTATTGGGTCCTTTGGACCCTTGGGGCTAAACCCTAATCCCTAAACCCTAAACCCTAGGGGTACCTATGTTATTGGGTCCTTTGGACCCCTGGGGCAAGCGGATGAGCTCGACAATAGCACGAAACACAAGCCTCGAGATCCCCGCAGCGAGTTCTTGTTTATGGGTTTTGGTCTCCAGTCGGCATCCTAAGTCCTATGGTAAGGCTTCGGGTAAAGAACCCAATATATATATATATATATACACACACATATATATATATATACACAGATGGGTTGGAAGAACTATCAAAATTATTCCTTCAGGCTCAAAACCCCGTTCAAATGATAGCCATGTTTTGTGTCTATAACATATGTAGCATTTACACATACTCGCTATTAAATCCGCCTTTAGGCGTTCTTGTGGCTCTTTGTTTTTATGTATTCTAACATACACTTGCGCCCTAAACCCTAAACCCTTCCTCGGTTCGCCTTCCCAGGTTTTGGGTCCAGGTTTTCAACTTCTACGTGTGCTTCTGCACGTTCGCTGTCCTGCCCCTCGGTTGTAGGGCTAATGGGACTTCGGTAGGATTTAGGGTGCAGGGGTGTAGGGTGTCGTTGTAATTTTTAAAGGATGGGGACCGACGAGGTCAGGATTTCGACATTGGGTTGACCTTGTTTGTTTGCATCGGATCCAATCCTCTGTTGGTCTTCGAGGCCTGTTTCTTTCTTTTGGGCGAGCTGCAGCGGTCGAGGGTCTTGATGTTATGGGTATACTTTTTCCAGCGTCCAGATTTGCGTTGAGGATGTGTGTGTGTGTGTATGGTCGGGGCAGTTTCATCCCACTAGGTTTTGCAATGCAGGGTATGGTTCCTACAGACTTCATTTGTTTGAGGGATGTGCATGGTTCAAGGCATCGGGGCTGGTCCGGAGTTGGAGGTTGGGTGTGCTTCGGAAGCTCATACCAGGAACTTCAGCCCCCACTAGCCATCCCAGGGAGAACAGGGCAAGACTTCCCTCCAAGAACGGGCTGCAACCCTAAACCCTAAACCCTAAACCCTAAACCCTAAACCCTAAAAGATGATGGCAGGAATGTGATGACGGGAGTCGTGTGCAACTCGGCCATAAAAGCTGCCGAGCGAGACCATGACACTCTCATGCGACTTGGCAGCATAGGGTTTAGGGTTTAGGGTTTAGGGTTTAGGGTTTAGGGTTTTAGGGTTTAGGGCTTAGGGGTTTAGGGTTTCTGGTCCTTGTTTCTGCATCACAAGAAGGATGCGAGCTTCGA